ATCCATAGATGCTTAAGTCCCATTAAATACAGTGGAATAGTAAATTGTATGTCTGGTATAAAATGGCAATATCAAGGTTTGCTGTTTGGAATTATATGAATATTTTCGATCCATGGATGCTTGAATCCATGGATAAAAAAATCTGTGGATATGGAAGAACTGCTGTGAGGTGGTGAACCTCAGGACTTGGGAATGGATCTGTCCCTTTGCAGTTTCCCAGATGTTCATGACCACTCTCATATGATGCCATGATTTGGTGGTTTCCTGCCTTTTGTAAAGGTATTTTTCCTATTCCAATAGTTTGACACAATAGTTTGATACTTCCTAAGACTTACTCACTGGGAGCAAGAACTTTAAGTTAAAATACATTGCGGTTGTTGTTATTTTTTACCCACCTCTCCCTGTAGATCAAGATGGGGAACAACAGTTTAAATTACAACAACAAATAAATACCTAATGCAATTAAAAACATTAACATCAATTAAAAATACATAATCCTATTATTATTATTATTATTATTATTATTATTATTATTATTATTATTATTATTTTGGCCCCACTTTTTGCTTTTGACCCTGCCCACCACTGGAATGTGGCCTCTGAGAAGTTCTTTGAAATTCAATTTAACCCTTTCACTAGAAGTTTTCTACCCTTGCTTTAGTTGTAAATAGTAATAAGGAACTACAGTTGGCTCTTTGTATCTGCAAGGGTTCTATTCTGGAGGCCTTCCCCCACCCCCGATAGCAAAAACCTTGTTGTTCCCTTTGTGGCACAATGTGTGCATGACTGCATTGGTATGGCTGCGTGCACATGTCACCATTGGGGAGAATGGGGTGGGACCATCTGTAGATGTTCCAATCCTTGGACAGTAAGCCCATGGAAGAGGAGAGCCAACTAATATTAGAGTATTATGCAATGTACACACTAACAACAGAAATATCAAAGTGCCTGAACATTCTACTGCAACCAGTTAAACAGTAGCACATACCAACACTTCACTGACAAAAACTGGGACACATGTGGCCAAGCAATATCAGAATGTAGTCAAGATGGCAAACGTTACTGATGAGGAAGAATAGAAGTTGTTCGCTTTTGTCTACTCCTTTCTTTTAATTGAGTACAAATTACTTTTGCACTTTGGACTTAGTTTGCAGCAACTGAAGTAAACTGAGGATAAAGGGGAAAAGTGGGAAAAGAAGGGAGAAACTTGGATATTTTAAAAGCAGCTGGAAAAGTGTGATTGCAGTGGATTAATCTGCCAAATTGGAGGCTATATACAAAAAGTATATAGTTCTTGCTATCATACTGTACTTTCCTTCATTTCACTACAGAACATTATGCAATTAATCACACAGTAATGATGATAGAGGCTGCTTACATAGCACCCTAGTGCTACAAAAGGACTTTAAACTTTTTAACTAACCCAAATGCCAGACACCCGAAGTGCCATATCTACAGTTTTGTTGTAGTGTACATCTTTTATTTGTTTATTTGTTTGTAGTATTTATACTCTGCTCTTCAGCCACAAAGGCTCTTTATATTTAGCATATATTTATATTTAGTATATATTTGTGTGTGCGTGTGTGTGTGTGTGTAGTATATTTAGCAGATGCCCTCTATTACAACATACTATGCACAACTGCATAGTATCCCAAATTATGGCTTGTTTTGTACTTTAGGAAGCAAAGGCTATGATATAGTTGTAGTGGCAATAGTCCCAAAAGCTATCATGTTTCTGTACTACAGTGAGCAATATTTGTAGTACCTTTTCTGCTACAGAATAATATGGTTATAGGCCTGGTTCAGACATATAATGGCTCCCCCATGACTAGTTGAAGGGTTATATTGCACTACAATTGACTTCCTAGTGCACTAGGTTCATACTTTTAGGACTAGGGCTTAAGCAAATGCACAGGGAATGGAAAGCTTAGGTGAAACATATGAAGCAATTATTATGAAATGTACTGCTGCCCTACTTATTTAAAGTAGTTCTGTAGGCCATGCAAAGGGACCAAAGGAATCTTCAACCATTCAAATCATCAAATCAAATGGCATTGTGATGGAATGTATTCTTTGTGCACAGATCGTCCCAACCTCAATGCTTAGCATTAGTGGCATTGTTACTAATGAAACTCCCTGGATTGATACATAGGCCTCCAAATAATTGTAGAGTGATGGGCCTCCAAATAATTGTAGAGTGAAGAGGCAGTAGCATCAGCAAGACCTGGTGAAATATTCTCTGCAACATTTTTTTTTCCTGCAGCTGTGCCAAGATTTTAACTGAAATAATACTTTCAGATGTGGAGTAACTGTGTTCAACCAATCAGATACCTTCTTTGGAATTATGTGACAGTGAGGGCATTGGAGCAGTAAGGTGGGCAGGATGAATATTCCTTTTCAAATTCCTTTACCTTTACCTTTACCTCAAAAATGGAACCCAATTGGCTCAGATTGCTGCCACTCTTGCTCTGAGGAAGATTGTTTAAATTTAAATGGTGAGTGCTTTTACCCTCAGATGGAAGAGCAATTCTCCTCTTCAAGTCTTGGCAGATGGTCACCTTCACTGCTGCCCAGTGGTTGAAAGAAAAAATTAAAAATAGGGCAGGAAGAGAAAAAAGGGGAGGCAGTGAGCGCAAAAAAGAGCAGCCCCCTTCACGCAGCAACTAGTAGAACAAAAATAGATCCATAAACTCAAGAACCAAGGTCTATAACTATCATTCATTGTATGAATTGTATGAATAATCAAAATGTATGAATTGTATGAATAATCAAAATGGCTGGCACCACCAAGGAGTGTTTCCCCACTATTCAAATGCTATTGTCTTGCCATTTCCCAAAAGTGTAACACAGAGTGTATTATGTTGCACTTAAGTATGTTATTTAAGTGTAACATAACCACACTTCATACACAAACAGACCTTTTTAAATCTCTGTCATGACCAGGTACTCAACTTTACAAGGAGGATAAGGAAGGTGATAGACAATGCCAGACTACAGATTTTGTGTGGTTGGGGAACCTCCTTCAGCCTTAAAAAACTATCAGTAGCTAAACCTTGAGTCAGGGATTGCAACCTTTCAGAATGGGGAAAATTCCATACAAAAACTCATGTCATGGGCAAGGAGTATGGCCATCTCAGGGAATTAAAGAGGTCTTGGGACCATGGGTGGGGTGGCAAATTCAGCCCCATAGCCTGAGGTTCCCTATCCTGCTGTAGATGAAAAAGAGCCCACCACACAGATTATGAAGTGCAAAGCAACTGCCTTGTCTTTGTCTAAACAGGTACATTTTCCCCATATCTTCTGAACATTTGAAATAGAATGGATTGGCCAATGTAGGGGTGTCCCAAAAGAATTCATCATTGACATTCACTCCAAAATCTGTTCCCAGTCCTGCTTTTCATCTCCATTGTAAACCTGATCTCAGAACCAGACTGCCGCTGGGAGAAGGGGGACTTTTGCCTCGGATGTTGCAGAGTCACACATTTTGAAAGAACTGACTTTGAAAACTTCCTTTGATCAAGGTTCCAGGTATGAAAGAGCTGCCAAAACTCTGCCAAAGAACTTCACTCACAATTGTGCAATGGTCTGAACCATAAACAAAAAGTTGTCATGTTACTTACCTACACATCATGAGTGGATAGCACAATGGGATTTGTCCTAAAATTTGTATTTAACAGATACCTCTTTTAATAATCAAGAACATACCAAAGAGGAGGAACTGACCTCCAGATTATGTCAGCTCTAACAAGGCAGCTAGATACAGGGATCTGACAAAAACTGAGATCAGTGTTATTGCTTTGGCAAAAAACAACTTGATGCTTTTCATTACTATTGCTCTTGTTTGGGGAAAAGCTTCACAATACCCATTTTTATGATCCTAGTAATTTCTTTTATGACAGTCTCCTGTGATACATGCAAAGGGAATGTAATGCTTCAAAAGCTGCTCTTAGAAAATGATGAAAATTACTCTTTTTTATTTATCACTTGACAAGCTCCTTGGCATGTCATTTGGTAGTTAAAATCAACTGGATTTGGAAACTAATTTGGATTGACAGTTGCATATAGCACTTGATCTGTGATAGACAGGTGTTAAAAATCTGTAGGACTCTGCTGTTTCAATGTTTAGTTTTTTAAAATGAAGGGATAGACTGTCTTGGTAGAGGTGATATTGGAGGAAAAATATGAAAAATAGAAGCTGTACTTTTTATTAAAAACAAATCCAGTTCACAACACAAATAAGCTGGAAGGTTGGAAACAATATAAAACTTGGAGTACTTCTTCCCCCAACAGGATTTTTCATTAATGAGATAAAATGTCTTAAAACTAGCTGTTCTTGCAATTAACTTCCAACATAACAGAATAGTGGGTGCCCAGTGCCCGTACATTATTGTTGGTCCATTGAACAGTGTTGTTAACTGGCCATTTTGATCAGCTTGGTGGGTCCCGTGTTAGATAAGAGGAAAGCAAACATACAGAGCCTTGTAGCAGTTTTCCTGAAAGTAAGGTTATTTATCAAAATATCTATCCTGCTTTTACTTGTATCCCTCTGTTCATTTTTAGCAAAGGGTACCATACTTCACAGTGCTCTGAGGGATTATTGACAGATAAAGAGAAAACATTTACAGATAAATAGACAATAAATTCTGGAGTAAATGTTTTGGGAAGATGTTAGAATTGAATAATGCATTCCCATATGTTATCCTGAGTTCAGGTAGGTCTGTTCCCAAGTAAAAGTATGTTGATTGATTACCTTCTTCTGCAATTCTATGCATGTCTATTTGGAAGGAAATCCCACTAATGCATCTACAACTTGTGACTACAGTCTTTGTTTCTGTGGCATACAGGTAATTTACAAAACATAGTTGGACAACTGTCACCTTCTATATATCATTGGAGTGCAGCTTTCATTATTCCTCACTATGCTGGCTAGTGCTAATGGTAGTTGAAATCTAATAAAACTGGGGTGGTGGGACATCAGTTCCCCATTATTGCCATGGAGAGCCAGTGTGACGTAGTGGTTTGAGTGCTGGAGTATAACTCTGGAGACTAGGGTTCAATTCCCTATTCAGCCATGAAACCCACTTGGTAACCTTGGGCAAGTCACATGCACTCAATTTCAGGTGAAGGCAAGGGCAAACCTCCTCTGAATAATCTTGCTGAGAAAACCCCATGATATTATGGTTGCCTTAGGATCACCATAAGCTGGAAATGACACGAAGGCACCAAAATAAATAAATAAATAAATAAATGATTGCTATAAACATTTCTAATGACTTTCATACACCCTTGATTGCTTGTTTAGTAGTTACATGAAAAATAAAATAGAGGTTTGATTAAAAATTCTGCTTGGAAAAATAGATCTGATGTTCTGGTAAATGAGACATAAGAACAAACCATTTCGTAAATAAGTGAGAGCTGGATCAATGTATGTTAAATCAGAAGAAAGCCCAATTGACTTTGAAAAGACTCCAATAGGTCTGTGCAGAAATAGGTCATCATCTCATCTAGTTGAATCCCCTAGTCTAATTTCAGCCATGTTTTCCTTTCACCTCTTGGAAATCTCTGATAAACACTGCATGTTTGCAGGTATTGATTACATTTCAGCTTTCTTGAGAGGTGGCAATGTGTCTTTCCTTAAAGGGAAAATGCTTTTCTCTGAAAAGCTTTCACAGAAAAGTCCTCTCTTTGAATATGCTGCCTGGTCCACATCCATTCTTGAAATTGTCAGTCAGCAGTTAATGCCTGAACAACAGATTGAGCAGGCCCAGAGGTCACCTGGTCAGTGTCTTCTCCAATATAGTGAACTGAAATTTTAAAATTTGTTTTTAAATCAGAGTATTTATTTCTGAAAGAATCTATACCTAAAAACTGCCTTGTTATGTGTCCTCAATTGAACCAGGGTGAACCAGAGTGGTTTGAATACTGAGCTACAGGGTTCAAATGCCCACTCAGTCATGGAAACCCATTGAGTGACCTTGGGAAAGTCACATTCTCTCAGCTTCAGATGAAGGCAAAGGCAAAAGCAAAGCCTTCTCTGAACAAATCTTGCCAAGAAAACTCCACCATAGGTTTACCTTAGGGCCACCATAAATCAGAAGTAACTTGGAGGCACATGGCAACAAGAACAATGTGTCTTCAATATATTTCCATTTTGTGTTCTCTGCCTTCATAGAAATAATGAATAAAAATTTAAATAGTTCAATAACAAATTAAACATTGGAGTTATAATCAAACACTGATTTGTATTACTGCACATGCAAACCATCCCTTGGGACACTAGATTTGTTTGTTTATTGTATTTTTATCCCATCTATACTCCAAGGAGACATATGTAGTTCTTCTCCTCTCCCTATTTGTCATCAAATGAACATTTTGAAGTTGTTTAAGTTAAGAGACAATGACTAGCTGAAAGGAAGCTTTGTGACCTTCTGGACTAATTAGAGATTTAAACCTAGACTCAAATCCTATTATTAATCCCTAGTTCCCACCAAATCAGTAGGAACCTGCTAAATCAGCATTTTTTGAAGATCCATTTATTTAATGGATCTACACTAGTTGAATGTAAATACAAGGTTCATGCTTTTGCTAAGACTGACAATCTAGCCATTATAATTAGAACAGGATTAAAATACTCTGACAGTCTAATGTATGCAATTGTTAAGAGCCCGATATTGTTACCAAAAAAAGCAAAAGCAAAAGCTTTAATCCAATTCCAAATAAAGTAGAGCTATTTAATCAATAAGAAGATTTAAACCAACATTTCTATAAATTCCACTGATTCAATGGGTGTAGTCTATTTGATCCTAACAACAGGATTAATGTCCCATTTCTGGTTCCCGGTTCTAATCTACCTGTTTTGTCACTGTTAACCAGAACCAAATTAAAGTGCATTCAGACCTAAACTATCACACTCCAACTATTTTCAAAGCAAAACACCTTAATTCAGTCTTAATGGAATAGACATTGAAACAATGGGAATTTGGTAAGCAAACGCCTATGTAAATTCCATTGATTCAATAGGTCTGCTGTTGTTAGAACTAGCAATTAGATTTAGGCCAATATGTAGTATGTAAGATTTGAAATTTAGAAAGAATAATTGTTGTCTACAAGTCCACACAGGGACACCAAACACAGTGTACAAACATAAATCAAGGAACACAAGAGACACTGCAGACTGGGTCAGCCAGAAAAATCAGCAGTAGCAGAACACCTTATAAACCATCCTGGGCATAAAATACTATTCAAAAACACTGAAATTTTGGACCATGCCAACAACTATCAGGTCAGAATGCACAGGGAAGCCATTGAAATCCACAAACACCTAGACAATTTCAACAGGAAAGAAGAACCCCTTAAAGTAAACAAAGGGGGGTTGCAGACTGCCAGAAATAGTGCAAATTGAGTCCACTTTTAGGGTTAGGGTTAGGATTAGGGAATCATGGGAACTGTACTTTATTGTGGCACTAGAGCTCTCTGACAGAGAAGGCTCAATGTTTCAGGAAAAAACACAATTCCCATGATTCCCTAGCACTAACCCTAACCCTAAAAGTGGACTCAATTTGCACTATTTCTGGCAGTCTGCAACCCCCCAAAGTCTGTCTGCCAGTCCTGAAAAACACAAAAATCAAGACCCAAAATGTGCAACTACCTAGGGTCAGGGGTTTTGGCAGCAGACAATGGATCATTGATTAAATAAATGCAATGCCTCCTTGCATATACTCCCACCCTGAGGCCTTGCCATTCAACAACAGAACAACACACAAATTAACATGTAAATCACCTTCTCTCAACCAAGGGTCACACAGTATGTCCATACCCCACTGACTTCCATGCCAGCTGTCTCTGAAGATGTCAGCCACAGAAGCTGGCGAAACATCAGGAATAAAATCTTCTAGAACACAGCCAAAAAACCCACAAAAAAACACAATAATTGTTGTTGTTGTGATGATAATTATATTGTCTTTTTTCGCAATCAGAGGCCCTAAAGTATAAAGTGGGCTTCCATGACCCCCCGTGGATACCAAGATCTATGGATGCTCAAGTCCCATTATATACAGTGGGATAGTATAATAGTGTATCTTATATAAAATGGAAAAATCAAGGTTTGCTTTTGGGATTTTTATGGGGGGGAGTATTTTGAAGCCATGCATGATTGAATCTGTGGTTGCAGAATCCATGGATATGGAGGGCTGACTGTTCTTTATTTATGTTTAAATCTGGCACTCCAACAAGGACATTCACTGCAATAGCAGACTAATTCTCTATCTACTATTTCTTAATTTATTGTTGTTTTTTTTTACTTTATTTATATCCTGCTTTTCTCATAAATGGGATTTAAAGTGGCTTACACCTTAAATTAATTCAAAGATATAGCCATGTTAGGGCCTTTGCAGACAGGCCCTTTGCAATGTCCTCAAGGCAGGTATGAGGAGGGGCAGCCACAAGCCGGCCACCACAACCCCTCCCCGAGGACATCCTGATGCCACACAGCATTACGCGCAGTGCATGGCATCAGAACATCCTTCCAGCTCAGCGTCTTGATGCGCTGCGCCAGAAGGGGCGCAGAAAAGCCGCACAGCGGCTCTTGGGGCGTCCTTTTTGCCGGCTCTGAAAGGAGTAGCATTTTGCCACTCTCTTCCAGGCTGGCAAAAGGGAGGATTGGGGCTGAGGCATGGGGCAGCCTCGGCCCCAATCCTCCACTTCCCAGGGCAGCCCAGGGCCGCCTGTCTGCATCTCCCCCTCAGTCTGTAGAATCACTAAGTAGAGAGATCTTGTAGCATGTTTGAGACTAATTGAAAGAAAGAAGTTGGCAGCATGAGCTTTCGTACACCTCAGATGCTTTTGGTGGACAGGAAGCCAGGGAAGGACATATATATGCCCTTGGTATGTGAGAGTATCAATTCAAATTCAAAATCCTTTGGGTGCACAAATGAAATAGCAGGCCCAGTTTTAACTATGGTTGTTTGTGGACAAAGGCATGACCGTTGGGTATGGAAATGTGGTGGCAAAATCAATTTGGCCTTGGAAACCAGCCTGTAGGTGGGGAGAATACATGAGTGTAGGATGCCCCCATGGGGATGGGTTCAGATAGTGTTGAAATGTGTGTAGTGAGCCAGGAAGTCATTGTCCCTGTTCAGTCCATTGCTGAGGGACTGCAGTTTATGGATGAATTCCAATTCTGCTGTTTCTATTTCCAATCTACCTTTGTAGCTCTTTTGTTCAATTACTGTTGTTCTGAGGTCTGAGATGGAATTCCCAGGGAGATTGAAATGTTGAACCACCAGCTCTTGTGTATTCCCATTCCTAATGTCTGATTTATGTTCATTTATCCTTTGGTGCAGGGACTGGCCTGTTTTCCCAATGTAGTGTGCTGATGGGCATTGATGACATAGGATAGCGTAAATCACATTGGAGGATGAGCATGTCCTCTGCGCACTCAGGTCATCTGGGAGGAATTTGTTGCAGCCTATAAAAACTAGATTATCTGCAACTGCCCAGAGGACCTTTTCGGCAACTGCTCTCAGATTATGGAATGGCTGGTTGGATGTGATCCATCATATTACCACCTTAAACAGCTTTAAAAAGGCTGTTAAGATGGATCTCTTCCAGCAAGCCTATCCTGAATAGATACCCCGGCCATCAAAAGACAGCCATCCTGCATATTCCTGATTTGGCTGTAGTTATTGTTATTTGTTTATTTGTTTTATTATTTTAACAGTGTTTTAAATTGTCACTGTTTAATAGTATTTTAAGGGCGGGTGGGATCGTGGGATCTGAATGTATATTTTAATGTTGTAAATCGCCCCGGTTGAATTATGCAGAGGGGCAGGATAATAATAATAATAATAATGATAATAATAATGATAATGTGAAGGTCTCCCTAATATTGTGGATGTTGCCATTAGGACTTGTGACAACATTTCCTGGATAAATGTGGGGGCAGAGTTGGCATCTTGGTTTGCAGCAAGGCTTAGTACTTATGTCATGTGTCTTCCTGTAAGTGAGTACCTGTTTGAGGTTTGAGGCTATCTGTTGGTGGGTAAAAGTCTGCCAGCAAGAGCCCTTGAAAGTG